CCGCGTCACCGCCGGTTCCAGTCGTCCAGGGGAAGGCGGGTGGTGGGACGCTGGAAGAGGACAGAGGTCTCTGTCTGCAGAACTGAGGATAGGAAAACATGGATATGCACACGAGGCCGCGAGGACGAGTTTCATGCACTTGTGCCCGGGAGAAGACCCGGTCCGCATTTTCCGGCCAGGTCGGCTCTGGGAGCCCGGTTGCTGGGGGCATCTGTGATGGGGGTAGAGGGGACGATGAAAGCGCTGTAGGAACCGTTCTCTGGAGGATACTGCGATCAAAGGGAGAGCTTCTGCCACCGCCTCCTACTTTGGCATGCCCGCCTTCCCCCAACACACCGGCAGGACTTCTGCCTCTGCCTCCCCTACTCCCAACAGGGTCAGTTCCTCTCTCTGATGCCAAACATAGAGTTGGACGACCTCTGGCTCGCCCTCCCAGTCTGTAAATATGGACTAGAACACACACACACACACACACACACACACACACACACACACACACACACACACACACCTTTCTTCCTCATATAGATCAGGACTATTATCCCTGCTTCTCTTGCCCCGTTCCATATAGATGAGGGCCACTCCTGCTTCTGCCCACCCCAGCTCCCAACACAGTGCCTCCTCTCCCTTTGCATTTCACCCCCCAGCAATACTCCTCAACACCTGTGTGAATCAAAGCTCACCCCAGAGACAGCTATGGCCGTTGTGCCTACGACACTAGCCAGCACCAGTCATAACCTGGAGCTTGAGCTGGAGAATCGACCTGTCTGGGACAACCTGCCACAGCACTGTGCCTGTATCTAGTTCCATCTGGCCACCAGGGTGCCTCTTTCTTGAGACATCCATGATCTCCCCTCTCCCTGGCAGTGATCTTCAATGAAGCGAAAGGGAAGAGGGAAGGGAAGGCTTGGGAGAGCAGAAGGGCTGGGCCAGAGAGGATTCCTAGCAGGTTCTTGGCAGATAGCAAGCCCTTCCCCCAGCCCCTGCTGTACCAGGCCCTGCAATGGCTCCTTATACAGGAGGGGTGGGGAATCCCCAGGGCCCACCCAAGGTTGGAGGTGGGCTTGAGCCAGGGCTCTCCCACATACTGTGTGTGTATGTGTGGCTGTAACTGGGGTAAGAGGGGAAGGGGGTATATAAGGTCCATAGTGACTCATTAAGGTTTCTCCTGCATCGCTGGGACCCCTGGTAGTGTTGGACACCATGCTAAGTGGATCAGCTGGTGCTGCTGCCTTTCTAGAGACAGCAACAGGGCCCTGGGGCATGATGGGGTAATGACTGCTGTGTTATCACCTCCAGAGCCCTGGGGCTCTAGGACCAATCCCCAGAAACAGCCAAAGCCAATAACTACAAAAATAGAGTTTATTTTCTATCCAAAAGTGAATCCAGGGTGTCAGGTGGTGAAGGAGAGCTGGGGACAAGGGCGAATTCTGGAGAAATTCAGGCCCTGAGTGAGACCATGTTGCAGGGGGAAAGGGTAAGGAGCACTACTGGGACTTTTTGAGTTGCTAGCAGCAGACGAGACCACCTTGAGAGACAGCCTGCAGAGACAGAAACAGAGATGTTGATAGACCCAGGCCTAGGAGCAGAAACAGACATTAACTGGACTCTAAAAAAGCACCCGCTGGGCACTGGGAGCTGGGAGCACACTCCAAGGCAGGGGTTGCTGGCCGAAGAGCTGGTGACTCAATCCAAATCCTGGGCCCCACCCCAGACATTCCAAATTGAGTGAGACCCAGGAATCTGCATTTTAGATGATCAGGTAGTTCTGACACACACTCAAATTTTGGGAACTCAAATACCCACAGAGACTAAACAAAGATTTCAAATGAGGGTGTCAGGAGATGACCAAGAAACATAGTGACAAGAGTATAGATCCTACCTAGGAGGACAGTGATTACCAGGTCTAGCGGATAGCTGATTTTTGCCTGATGGAATGTTGGCACAGGATGGCCAGATGTTCTAAGTTTTTTGTTTGTTTGTTTGTTTGTTTTTTAGTTGGAGTCTCACTCTGTTGCCCAGGCTGGAATGCAGTGGCAGCTCACGGCCATCACAGCCTTGACCTGCTAGGCTCAGGTGATCTTTCCGCCTCAGCCTTCCAAGTAGCTGGAACTATAGGCATGTGCCACCACATCTGGCTGACTTTTTAATTTATTCTAAAGACCAGGTCTTGCCATGTTGCTCAGGCTGGTCTCAAACTCCTGAGCTCAGGCAATCCTCTCACCTCCACCTCCCAAAGTGCTAGGATTACAGGTGTGAGCCACTGCACCCGGCCTGTTCTAAATTTTTTAGAGAAGCTGGAATACCTGAATTTTTATATGACCTGTCCTGATTTTTTTTTTTTTTTGAGTTGGAGTCTCACTCCATCGCCCAGGCTGGAGTGCAGCGGCACGCTCACCACCACCCCAGTATTGATCTGCTGGGCTCCGGCAATCCTTCCGCCTCAGCCCTCCAAGTAGCCGGAACTACAGGCGTGTGCTACCACGCCCTGCTAAGTTTTTATTTATTGTAGAGACGAGGGCTTGCCAAGTTTCCCAGGCTGGTCTCGAACCCGTGGGCTCAGGCAATCTACTTGCCTCAGTCTCCCAAAATATTGGGATTACAGGCTGAGCCACCGAGCCTGGCCGTTTCCTGATTTTTAATGTCGGCAACTAACTCAGGTTTTGAAAATAATGTTGGCCGGGCTCGGTGGCTCAGCCTGTAATCCCAGCACTTTGGGAGGCCGCGGCGAGAGGATTGCCTGAGCCTGAGGGTTCGAGACCCGCCCGGGCAACTTGGTGAGACCTCGTCTCTATAATAAACCAAAAACTAGCCAGATGTGGTAGCGCATGCCTGTAGTTCCAGCTACTTGGAAGGCTGAGGCGGAAGGATCGCCGGAGCCCAGCAGGTCGAGGCTGTGGTGGTCAGGAGTGTGCCACTGTACTCCAGCCTGAGCGACAGAGTGAGACTCCGACTCAAAAAAAAAAAAAAAAAAAAAGAAAGAAAAGAAAATAATGTTGTAAGCCAAAGAATACTACATGTATCTCTGGGGCCAGGAGTTTGTTTCCGGGGTGGTCTGCGGGGTGGGCTGAGTCCCTGCATCCTGGGCTGATGGTTGGCCTTAGAAGTCTTGAGGTCCTCCATTGCCAACCAGGATTTCAAACCTGCCCATCTCTAGGTGACACTGCACTCAAGGTCTCCCGCAGAGATCCTGGGGCTGGGACAGAAGACCTCATGATATCAATAAGCTGTCTTCAGACAGAATCCTACCATCTGTCCCTCTAAATGCAGACACTAAGCTCCTGCCCAGTCTTGTCTTCATTTTCTAGGTTGGATCTGGGGCCCTTGCCCACCCTCTCTGCTCCCCCAACTCTACCTGCCTCCAGGTCCTGATGAGAAGGTAGGATCTCATCTGCCTAGGCCCGTGGGCACCATGTCCATCTCACACCTGCTGGGATCCACGTCTTCAGGTGGCACCCTCACAGAGGAGGATGGGAAGGTTTGCAAGAGGGATACAGTCAGAGGCGTCCATGCCTTGTAAAAAATCCAGAAATCCAGAGCCAACCAGACCAGCTGGTGGCTGCTGACCCCTCGACAGGAGGCCAAGGGGCCCAGCTCCTCCCTGGATGGCAGGCAGCAATGCCCACCCCAGACAGGCCTGGGCCCGGGGCCGGGGTCAGTGGAACGTGTCTGACTTGGACTGGAAACTCTGCCTCATGAGGTTGGGGGTTGGGGGTGAGGCCTCTGGCACTGGGGAGGGTCCCAGAGGGTCTGGCTCTGAGGAGTAGGGGGATAGTGTGGGAGGTCTCAGGTCTGGGAGGGCAGTCCCCCTCTCCGCTGTCCCCACACTGGCCGGGCAGTGGACCTCAGCAAGCGTAGTGTGCTGGAGGCTGGGTGGCAATTTGGACACACAGGGAGAGATGCATGATGGTCTCCGCTGGGGACAAGGAAGGTCTGGGAACCAAGCTGAGCCTGTTGGGGGGCCCGGGGGACCCAGCCTGGCCTGCAGCAGGCTCACGATGTGCTGCAGCTCCCGGCTAAGCTGAGACACTTCCTGATTGAGACGGGAGATCTGTTGAAAACACATCACGTTGTTTCACAGGGGCCAGGACAATAACCAGACGCACCCCCCCCTACAGTTTACAAAGCTCTTTCACACCATACTCTGCCCATGGCCACCCTAGGAGGCAGGCAGGACTGGGGGTTCTTTCTGCAGAGATATAAATGCCCCAGTCTCTTTCCACAATGGGTTTGGAGCAGCAGATTTTGCTATTTCTCTCCACCCGTCCCCCCTCCCCACTTTTTTTTTGAAAGTGAGAAAGCAAGATTTATTGAAAAGACAGAAAAGCTCCCACAGTGGGAGGGGAACCGAAAGGGTTGCCTCAAACTTTTAAGAGAGGTAGAAAACTGCTCAAAGAGGCCACATGATGTGCAGTGACAGCCTTGCTCTAAGTCCTGTCACACAAGCTCATGGGTCTATATTCACGGTTTTCAAACTTCAGTGACTACAGATTTGACTGAGAAACTTCTCCAAATGCCGATTTCTGAGCCCCACCCCAGACATCCCTAACTGGGTGAGGCCCAAAAGTCTGCATTTTAATAGGCTCCCAGGTAGCTCTGGCATTTGGGAACTGCTGGCTGGCAAAACTGACAGCCAGTGAACCAAGTGGGACTTCTCTCCAGCCTGCAGAGCAAGGGCTGGCCCTGCCCCAGCTCCAGGCCCTGCCCCAGCCCAGGTGCAGCCCCTCTGGGAAGCCCGATGTTTATCAGAACAGAGGGGAAGGCGGACTCCCAGGGGCTGGGCCTGGTTGTGTGGCGACGGCTCTCTGATCCCGTGGGGTGGAGGTTCAGGCAGCGCCCAGCATACAGGATCAGGGCTCTGCCCGGCCAGCATTCAGGCATCTGGGGCCGGGTCCCCCAGGCCTGAAAGCCTTTCAGCCTCCCTGTCCTCTGTCCCCAACGTCTGCTTAGCACTCATGACCCACGCTGGGCTAGGGGAAGAGGACTTGAGCAGCATAACTTGGACAGGTAGGCCCTGGGCAGGGGAGAATCCCATGGTGGTAGATGCAGAAGAGGGCCTGCTATCAGGCCGAAAAACCTGAGCCAGTTGGGGAGGAGGTGAACTAATTGAGTACCCAAGATGTGCCAGGGACTGGACTGGGCATGTATGTACCGTCATGTCATTCTCAAAACTCTGGGAAGAATATAATTATTTTCAGATGATGAAACTGAAGGTCAGAGTGGTTGTGGGTCTTGCCCAAGGTCATCTAGCTAGCGGGAACATCTGAATTCAGAATCTGAAATGCTCTTATATCAGGCCCATCTCTGATCCCAAGATGACATCCTCCAAGGCCGGAGGGGTGGAGCCAGCCAGACCCACCTCCTGGTTCAGCCTGCAGACCTTCTCCTTTGCCTCCTCGGGTTCCTCAGTGGCCAGTTCCTGGCCGGGCCTGGTCCCTGCAGGCAGAACAGGGTGAAGGGATGCTGGTGAGCTCAGGGAGCTCGAATACCCAAGCCCTTGGCTTGGGCTGGACCCCTCCTGTTTCTGAGGTCCCCTAACTCCTTGGGCCTCATCCCATGCCCTCCAGGTCCAGGTGTGGAGCTTCTCTTTTGTGTCCTAACCCAGCATCCTCTGACCTTCAAGCCATTCAACAACTATCCTGCTTCCTCCTTCAAAACCCCACCCATCCTTTAAGAAGCCACCCAACTGTCCACTCCTCTAGGAGGGAGAGTTCGGGACATCTTCCTGTTCTTGTTTCAGTCGTGGTATTGAGCACCTGGTTCTGGGTGTTCCTCTGTGTACACAGGTGGTGCCCCCATTAGGCTGGGAGTCACACCAAGTGTAGGCCGGGGATGGTTTATCTCTGAACTCCCAGCGTGGCACCTGGCACGTGGTGGGCCCCTACTACATGTGGGATGGACAGGCGGATGGATGGGTGGGTAGATGGACGGATGGATGACTCTGAGCTAAAAAGTCCACTGCTGGCCCTCACCTGGAGGGTGGGCCTGCAAGCGGGGCCTTGGGGGCTCCATCCTCCTGCTGAACCGGAATGTAGGGGCCTCAGCTGTGTTGCCAGAGTCCTCAATGCCATCCACTATCCTGGGGATGAGCAGTGCTCATCAGCACCACGTGGAGGGGTGAGGGTCGCAGCAGAGCAGGCAGAGGGTGACTGGGGCAGCAGGGTTGGGAGCGGGGGAAGAGCAGTGGTCAAAGTGGGAGAGGGTGGCAAGCCGTGGATGGGAGGATGGGGCGGGCAGACAGGGCAGAGACAGGAAAGGGCAGGGTAGAGACAGGAAAGGGCACTGTTGGAACGCTGGGGATAGAGCCCAGAGAAGGTTCTGGAGGCCAGTGGGGTATGGGGAAGGCAGGGGAGGCTGGCGTCTCACCGGGGACTGAGGTCCGGAGGTCCAAAGGTTCCCAGTGAGGGAATGAGAAGCTGAGGGGGCTTCCAGGCAGCAGGGCACCTGGGGGGGCTGTGAGGGAAGGGGCTGTGGCCCTGGCCAGCCAGGGCAGGGGAGGGGGACAGGGATGTGGATGGAGAGGAGACAAGGGCTGAGAATGGGGGCAGCTCCTCGCCCAGAAGGCTGACCAGGGAGCCCCGTGGCCGTGCTGGGCTGAGGCTGGGCAGCAGGAGGGGCCGGCGGGGCCAGGAGCCGCCCCCAGGCTCCACACCACCCTGAGCCTCTGTGACGGACAGCAGTGTCTTGTCTGAGGAGGAGCCGAGGCTTTCTGAGTGGGGCTGTGGGCAGAGGAACAGTGGATATTACAGGACAGGGAACACCGGGCCCCCTTAAAGCAGCAGTCTTCACTGCCGACACTGTGCCCCATGCCCTCTCCCTTCTCTCTGCAGCAGGGGAGCCAAGGGAAGTTGCCCCCACTCCCAGCCTCCCCGCAGGGCAACCTCTAGCCCACCCATGAAGGGGGTGTTACCTGGGAGAGGCAAGGGGACCGGGGAAAGCGGCTGAGGCCCTGTGGGAACATAGCGGGGTTCAAGCCGACAACCCTGGTGCAGCCCCCACCTCGGGCCACCCAACAGTGTCATGGGAACATGGCCTGCATGTGGAATTGAGTCGGACAGCCACAACTCTAATTGAAAGAAACACCGAGTAACAAAGTGAGGCCAAAAAAGTGGCCAAAGACAAAGGCAGGGGTGCAATGTGCAGGCCTGGCCCAGAGCCTACTACTCAGCAGGCCCAGGAGACTCCTGGCACATGGGAAAGAGGAAGCCCCAAGGGATGATGCCAGGCCAGAGAGGGCTTGAAGGAGGAGCACGTGACAGGGGTTCCTTCCTAAAGGAGAGTCCTCTGAAGGAGTCTGGGGGAAGGGTGTTCGGTAGGATGGGCACAGTAGAAGGCCAGGCATGGAGGCTCACACCTGTAATCCCAGAACTTTGGGAGGCCAAGGCAGGTGGATCGCTTGAAGCCAGGAGGTTGAGACCAGCCTGGGCAACATAGCAAGAGCTCTTCTCTGCAAAAAGTTGAAAAATGAGCTGGACATGGTGGCACACACCTGTACTCAGGAGGCTGAGACGGAAGGATGGCCTGAGCCCAGGAGTTTAAGGCTGCAGTGAGCTGTGACCGTGCCATTGCACTCCAGCCTGGGTGAGACCCCAACTCAAAAAAACAGGAAGTAGAAGACCGGATAAAGGGTCCGCGGACTGGGTGGTGGCCAGGGGAGTAGTATCCATGGGATGGACAATATTAGGCATGTAAGCAGGGGGTGGAAGAAGGTGCCTGGGGTTGAGAGATTATGTTTTCAGATGCAGGGGGACACATGAGACGGGGTGAGGAGGTCTGCTCTGAAAGAAGTCACGGGGTCACATACGTTGGTGTCAGAGCCCTGGTGAAGGTTGAAGGTGAGGTCGCGGGGCAGACCAGCCCGGAAGGTGGCCCCATACTCAGGGTAGAGCCTGAGGACCTCAGCCAGCCCTTGGCTGCTCAGCTGCTGCAGTCCACAGTAGGTCAGTGCTTTCACGTCGGCACTGGTCTTCAGCACGGAACTCGGGTCCACTCCCAACCCATGCTCCTGCCCCGGCTCAGGGATGTCTGCCCCAATCAGGTCCCCCTTCCCTGCAGGTGAAGGATGGGGACAGTTAGCTGAGGCAGCAGGACCAACAGGACATCAGTGGGAGGTATTCCGTGGATTTCAGGGGTGGGCAGTGTATTGAAAGATGGATGAATGACCACTTGTATACCGAATCCTGAATTGTATCCCACATCTTTTTTTTTTTGAGTTGGAGTCTCACTGTTGCTCAGACTGGAGTGCAGCGGCCGCTCCCGGCC